ATTAGGTTGATCTGATAGGGCAATTTACTATTAATTTCACTGAAATTGACCCTGCTTCGTTGCGTAGATGACTGGGACATTGAACTCTTAGGGATGTCGAAAGCACACCACCAAATGTAAGTCATCAATAAAGTGATGTCTGAAGACTGTTAGGATATGCTGATTATTCAGGTAATTCATTACTTCATAAACACTAATAGTATAAAGTCACTGTTCAAACAAAAGTGTTCACTACAGAAATATGACACTTAGGGAAAGATAAACATGACAATTCTTAAAAAGCTATTAAAATCATATAACATCACTGAACTTAATACTGCTTCTGTGTTTGATGTTTGATGCTTTTATCTGGTATGAGTGTTTTCTAACTATAAGTTAACATATATGAGGGTACCTCAGAAAGTTTGTGAAAACATGGAATTAAAAGATAATACTAATTTTTTCATGAACTTCTTGAACCCCTCTAATATTATTCTTTCTTTTAATAAAATACTGTCATTATAGGGACTTAAAATTTTAGATATTAAGGAATTTTTTTATACATATCAACTTGGTTCATTGATGCACTCATTGACACACTTTGGACATTTTTGATAAAATAAATGCAACATATATAACTTCTACAGGAGTTTTTTGCCGTTGTTTTCTGTTTGTTTTAAGAAGGATTACACTTTGCGAATAACAGCAATTCAGGGCTGGNATCCACGGTTTCGCTTTCTGTGGTTTCAGTTTCCTGCTGTCAACCAGTCTAAAAATAGGTGGTAACAGTACAAGATATTTTGAGAGATAGTGACCACATTTACATAGCTTTTAAAAAAGAATATTGTTTTAATTGTTCTCTTTTATTATTATTGTGTTGTTAATCTTTTACTATTTAATTTATAAATTCAACTTTATCATAGGTGTATATGTGCAGGAAAAAACATCGTGCACATAAGGTTTCATAGGAATCCACTGGAGGTCTTAGAATGAATCCCCCTTGGATAAGGGGGGGACTACTGAAAATATACATATATATGTATGTATGTGTATATATACACACACACACACACACACACACACACATGGTTTTTCTGCCAATAGCTATTAAATCTCAACAAAAATACGTTGATATGAGTCTTAGATGTCTACTCTCTAAATGAAGCTCTTAATGTTTCAAGAAACCCGGAAGCCTGTACTTTTTACCTGAAGCCCATTGTGTGTGGCAAACCACTTGTGAAAGGAAAACACTAACTAGATTCTCTTCATTTTCTTAAAAAAGAGAAGGAAAAAGCATTGAACCTATGCATGTGAATAAAGAAAATTAGGTTGATCTGATAGGGCAATTTACTATTAATTTCACTGAAATTGACCCTGCTTCGTTTGGTAGATGACTGGGACATTGAACTCTTTGGGATGTCGAAAGCACGCCACCAAATGTAAGTCATCAATAAAGTGATGTCTGAAGACTGTTAGGATATGCTGATTATT